TATATATATATATATAATAATAATAAGAATGTTTGTGTGTACGTTAATATAAAAGAAGTAATGTGGAAGAGAATAAAATGATTGTATGAAAATACAATCGAAAAACAGTACAAAGAAGAAATGTCATCACTAAAAGAGAATTTGAATAAATAATAATAAGTGATAATAATAGTAAAGAAAAGAGAGAGAAAAAAAAGAAACTAACCAAAAAGAGAAGATAATCTTGACATATTATAGATAAACCGAATGATTTTTTTCCTTCTTCTTCCTCCTCTTTATTCCTTTCTTTTACTCTTCACTTTATCTTTTATTCATACACAGACTACTTCTCTTCTCTTCTTAATTTCTTTACATTATCCGTTTCTTCTCTCAATACTCTTTACTACTGTTAATATCGGTGCTTATCAAATAGCTCTATTCTTTTCCTCCTCCTATAATCTGCCCCTACTGATACATATATATATATATATATATATCTGTGCAGAACCGTATAATAATAATAATAATAATAATAATAATAATAATAATAATAATAATAATAAAGTTGTAATGACAACCACTAGAGAACGAAAAAAAAAGAAGGAAAAGGAAAAGAAAAAAAAAAAAAACCAGTAAGCAGAAGTGGAGAGATGTAAATCACACTCTGCTATACCCTTCATTCACCTTTTTAATTTTCTCGATTCCGTATTGTTTTCCTTGTTTGTTTGTTTGTTTTTTCTTTTTTTTTTTTTGCTTTTTCATCTTATTTCTCTACCAAACCCCACACCAAAAGAAGAAAAGAAAGTTCTAACACTAATCAATAACTGCAGAGGAGCACTTTCATTCAATCATTCATCATCCTTTCTCTCCAACACACACAGGGACACTCATGCAGACAGGAGTAACTGAAATATATATATATATATATTTCACTAGAAACTCATCTTCACACAGAAACCATGAAAGGAAAAGCAAAGAAACACACACACACACACACACAAATAAAGATAAAAATAAAATAAATAAATAAATAAAAACAAAGAAAGGAAAGGGGAATCAGAGAACACAAAAAAAAAGTGCAAAAAGAAGACGAAAAAGAAAAAAAGATAGAGAGCTAAGAACATAAGTCAATATGTACGGGAACAAAAAAAAAAAAAAACAAAAAAAGAATTGAAGACAAGTAAAAAGAACAAGAGGGGGAGAAATCAATAATCATCAACGATACCAATATCGAACTATTTTCCATTTCCATCCGTGCATGCTTATCTGCGCCTATACAAATACACAGAAACAAAATACAGGCACACGCACACACAAACACAAACAGATAGACATATATGCATATATATATATATATATATATATATGTATTATTTATTTTTTTTTTCTTCTTCACAATCGTTTTATTTCCGTCTTCTTCACATAAATTTGCTAAATTGCGTTATATTCACTGTACTCATTTTCTTTTTATTTTTTTTTCTTTTGTGTGTGTGCGTGTGTACTGTTATTTTCTTTTTTTTTTCGTTTTCTTTGTTTCCATTTCCTCCCAACTTCCTCCTCTGAATCTCAAAAGGTACTGTTTGTTTGTTTGATTTACTTCTTTCTACCCCCACTCAAAACAAAAAAAAAAAAAACCAAATCCCCTCCCACTTCCGTTTTCATTCTTTCTTTCTTTCTTTCTTTCTACTCTCTTCTCTTTTCTCTTCTCTCACATACAGCTCTCCCACTCACCTGCAACAAGTCATTTGGGGATGTCTGCATAATATAATAATAACAATATGATAAATAAATATATATGTATATATGATTTACTTTTACGTATTCATTTTTTTTTCTTCTGTTTTTTCTTCCTCTTCTTCTTCTTTTCTTTGCTCTTCTTGACTAATATATATATATATATTTCTCACTCTCACACACTCTCTCTTTCTCTTTCTCTTACGCGAGATCGAGCACCATACGTGCGGGGTCCTCTATGAGATTCTTCACCTTCACGAGAAACGTCACCGCGTCGCTGCCGTCAATGAGTCGGTGGTCGTACGTGAGCGCAACGGCCATCACGTCGCGCACTTTTATTTCGTTGCCGACGACCCACGGCCGCTTCTTCGTGGCGTGCATGCCGAGAATGGCGGACTGCGGGGGATTGATGATGGGAGTGCCCATCCACGAGCCAAAGACACCGCCATTGCTGATCGTGAAAGTACCGCCCGTCATCTCGGCAAGTGTGAGTTTGTTCACCTTCGCACGATCCGCAAAGTCAGCGATTTGTTTTTCAATCATCGCAAAGTCAGAATTCTGCACATCGCGAAGGACAGGGACCACAAGTCCACGTGGAGTGGAGACCGCAATGCTGATATCCACAAAGTCGTGATATTCAATAGAATCGGTACCGAAGGAGGCATTCACAATAGGCACATCTTGTAGGGCAATGGCACAAGCTTTTACAAAAGGGGACATAAACCCTAATTTCACATTATGCTTCTTGAAGAAATCATCTTTATATCGGTTGCGTAACTCAATAAGAGGTGTCATATCAATCTCATTAAATGTCGTTAACATGGCGCATGTGTTTTGACTCGCCTTTAGACGATCCGCTATACGCTGACGCATGGATGAAATCCGAACACTCCGCACACGCGGATCAGATCCCGTTGTCGTTGTGATGGTTGTCGATGTACTCTTCGGTGTTGCTGGAGCCGCGGCTACGGGGGGTTTAGGCTTTGCAGCAGTTGTTGTTGTTGTTGTTTCTTCCTTCTTCTTTTCTGCTGGTGTTTCTTCCTTCTTTGCCGCTTGGGCTTCCCCTGGCTTTATGGTGGAGAGTTCCGCCCCCACCTCCACCACTGCCCCCTCTTCAAAGTTGATCTTCGTGATGACGCCGCTTGTTGGGGCCCGCACGTCCACGTTGAGTTTGTCGGACTCAATTTGGCAGATCACTTCATCCTCCGCGACGTGATCGCCGACGGCTTTGGTCCATCCTACAACTTTCCCGCTGCTCACGGACTCGGCGATGGTCGGCACTTTGATGCTCACGCAGAAGCGGGCGGCAAGTTTCTGCGCACTCCACATGCTGGTGTGAAGGCCTTGTACGGTAAAACGTCGTAACATGAGGAAATACTTATTTATCCTTTCTTGTTGTTGCTGTTGATGTTACTGTTGATGTTTACTTTTTTTTTTTTTTCCTTTTCTTCTCAAATATATATCTTTCTTGTTTGGAGTTAGCACTAGAGACTACACCTCTGTAAATGAGAGACGAAAAGAAAAAAAAAAGAAAAAAAAAAGGACGATACACTACTATATATATATATATATATATACATTCACATAAATCCCCCCACCCACTCTCTCATTGGAAGTCTCTCTATTATTAGTATCACTACTGTTTCAGCAGTTTCTGTGTTATCGCCGCACAACAGCGAGTAACATCCCGCGTATCTCCGGATCCCACGCGAGAATGGCGGCTCCGAAGAGCGGTCCTGCCAAAATAGCCGTCGCCGCATGTAAACATCGTGTGAAGAGAAACAACAACGCCCACACCGCAGTGACGCGGAAATTAAAGGCGGCGCGTAAATCCCACAGCGTCACTCGCGTCTGCAGCGAGGAGCGGTGGAGAACACACAAAGACACGACACACCGCAGGGCCATACTAGCAGCCGTAATACACAACAGTCCCACCACCGGATCCCCATTACTATTATTATTATTATTATTATTACTATTATTCTCCTCCATACGCTCTGTGGGGCTGTGTGGATCTACACTAGCTGTAGGCCGCAGAAGAAGAAAACAGGCAATCACATAGAGAGCAGCATGAAAGAGCAGTGTGGCCTGCACTCGCTGCAGTGTACGTGCCGCCGCCGTTGCCCGCACAAATGCATCCAACAGCCCATTCCATCCAAGCAGCAACAACACACATGTGTACAGTTGCAGCGCACGCACCGTCGCCACTGTCGCCCACCGCCGCGTGAAGGCAAACGTAAGAAACGACTCGGCGAGTGGCGGGCCCACAAGTACAGCCGCAGCGCCAAAGTAAAAAGACACTCGCAACATCAATAGTAACAACGCAACGGCCTCACGCCCTTTTCCACACGCCGCATCGCGACTCCACTTTGTAAAACACGCCCCTTCCCAAACACTAAACACCACTCGCGCCACCAGCGAGCCAAGACTCGCCACGAAATCATATCGGCCCATCACCGCAGCAGAACCAAACGCCACCAGCGCAAACCGCTCCCCTTCAGCAAGCACAAGCCGAAGTGTACTCTCGCGGAAGAATTGAAACATCAACGACCACTCTCTCATAAGAGAGGCATAAAAGATACTCCATGAAAGAAAACCCCATGGAAGAAAAATACGCCAGTTAGAAATAGAGATAGAAACATGATCCTTCACTCCACCGGAAATCTTTAACGCCGCATTGGCACGAGCCTGATGAAGAAGTGGAACTCTATCTTGACTACCTTTACAGTCATTACTATTCCACAACCAGAGAAAATAACCCACCGTCGTGAGGGCATACGCAAAATTACCCGTAGCGAAACACATACGTACAATCCATGGATCACTACTAAAATAATCACCAAAAATCCGTACAAATATTAAAGTCACAACAAGACGTACCATTAATGCCCAAAATTCAGAAGCCACAATAAAACGAAAATAATCAAAAGAACGAAGAAGAGTTATACATGGCTCAATCATCAATGTAATGATAACACTTAATGCTAGAAAAAGTTCTGGTATACCTATTATACCTATAGTTTCATCATGGTTCGCAATAACAGTAGAAGGAATCGAACTTACCCCACTCACACGAGAGAGTGCAGATAAAGATGGGAATACATAAATACCAGAATAAGAAATAAGCTCTAATGCTATCATCACAAGAATACCTAGTGGAACAGAGATGAATGCGCAATTTATTACCTGCAAGACTACCGTGCCATTTTCAGCCTTGTCTACCAAGTTGTATCGTGCATTTACACTACGTACACATTCTCTCGCAAGATACAATACAGTATTATAATATAAGAGAAATGAGAAACTTACACCATTCTCACTTGGTTCTAATTGACGCGTTAACAGGGTGCTCAGTGAAAAGGTTATCAACTTTAGCACAACATTAAGCACCAAAGCAGAAGCTAATTGACCTTTAAAGTCCATTATTGTATCGCTCTATATATATA